CGGAGATAATCTCCGAGCGAAGGTGATTTTCAGAGGCTCTGCCCTGCTTTGTCTGGTCTTTGCTGAGGCTTAGCAGCACACAGGGAACAGGTGTCGATTCCCCCTTTTATTTATGCTTCCACTGATTCTTGCAACGAGGCTGAGACGATGCTGGGACTCGCCGTGTATGACATTTGAATAGTTCTGTGCCGAAACTTTGAAAAGCAAAACAGTCGTCTAGAAATGGAAATTCTTTCCTTCAGGTGCTGCACAGTCTCCCATCATGCCTTGTATTCAGCCAGCGTTTTATGTTTACCGCCGAACACACAGCAGGACTTTTCAGATTAATGGCGAGATACCTGCCAGATTGGCTGGTGGAGGGGGTTAAAGTAGCAGCCAATGACGAGACAGATCAGCTGGAGGTATTTTCCCACCCTGCTGACTAAACTGATGCCCAACAGAAGGCGTTCATGCAGACGGATCATTAACAGCTGTGTTGTTATGAAATAGAAGGCAGTGAGCTGTGTTGACAGACGACTCTCTGCATCTGTATGTAATTGGTTTTGTCGTGTGAATCTGTCTGCAGGGTTTAGTAGTATATTAAAATAGTACCCCCTGAGCTCTAGTACATTTGTGTAGTTATGACTTAAGGCTTTAACCAACGATTATTTTCATTATCAATCAATCTGTCAGTTAGTGTTTGCTCTGGTCAGTTAATTGTACAGCGTTTCCCACAGGACTTTGGTGGGTGGACCTTGGACCCCCCCCCCCCCCCCCCCAGGTTAGAAGAAGATTTTGTACATTTAAAAGTCAAATGTATTAATCTGGAGCACTTTGAGAGCAAAATTAAGAAGCTACATATATGAAGAACTAACTGCATTCTTGTCAACAATTATTTTCCTTAAGTAAACAATTTTTATCATAAACACATTGTATAGGTATAAACGGTGACACATTCATTTAATGATTTTCCAACAACCCCAAATAAAAAGATAAGTATAAGTAATTTCCCTAATATTTTAGTGTTTATTTGTTTTGCTTTTAATGGACAGATCATAGATCAGGGAAGTTGACAATTATACAACACAATGTTATATAATGAAAACATGTAACATATATTATACTTCCTGTGAATATAATCCAATTAATCTTATTTCCATACTGTATTTACGTTGTGTTAACACTTTATTTTGAAAACCGGCCGTTCACCAAGTCCGACGCATGATAAATTAAACTGTGTGTGGCTCGTATCTAGTACAATTCAGCCTTTATAGCCGAAGTCTTCTTAATTAATGGGAAACACTGTTGTATCCCACAGTCATGTGTTTTAAATGGTTGTCTTCTCCAAATAAAGGGTCCACTATCCCAAGATAATTATTGACAATGATCTCTTATGAGAAGCTGAATCCAGCTCATGTTTTTTGCTTGCCAATTTGTGACTTAATTTTCTGTCAATCGACCTATCAATTAACATACTGATTGTTTAATCACTACATGCTAGACTGCCTTGCATAAAATAAAAAGCTCCTAGACTTGCATCACAAGACTAAATTAAGTGTTTAGTTTAATATTAGGCTTATTGAGTTTTGTGAAAATGACTGGCTGTATTTAAGTAAGGCGGTTGCTTAAAACAGTCATCTGGTAACTGCATTGATAACGAGAAGAGATGCGCCAGAATCACATCATATGTTTGTGTCGCAGCAATTAATCAGCAGCACGTTGCAGTGTCTTGGGGGGGGCTTGTTGTAAGTTAGGAAAGTAGGGCACGTAGCGCTTTTCGCTAACAAATTTCCTGGGGGAAACCCTGAGCGCTGTCCACACCTGGGCCTGGAAGATAATAGAACAAGGGTTTGGCCACGTCGGGGAAGTTGGGAACAATCTTCTTCTGTTAGTCTCTTGTCAAGAATCATGTTTAGAAAAGGCAAGCTGATGTAAACAAGCCTATTTAGTTGCTCTGCTTATTAATTACAGTTGTCAGTTTTGATTATCATCTTCCTCTATTTGAACATATATTCATCACCACCCTAACGCCACCTCTCGAACCACAGATGGACGCGATGCTGCGCTCATTAATCACTTTTAAAACAGCAGCACACTGTATATGATGATGGACAATCAGCTGTGCAGCCTCACATAGTTTGTAAAAGGCTTTTCTCTGTCCACAACCTCAGGCAGCAGGCTGACGAGTGTGTTTGTACTGAAGGCTGAGTTTGTCCTCTCCCCTCCTCCTCTGTCCGCTGTTATAAACGAGGCCTGGTGGACACACAGTACGACTGCCTGTGTGACTTTGACAGAGCATTAGAGATGAGCCTGCAGCGTATCATTCACGTCTTATTACGTAACGGTTTCTTGCTAGAGCTCTTAAATTAATTTCTCCTTCAGACTTTCATGTCACCCGGCTGGGTTAGTGAGGACTGATCGGGGTCTTTGTCGTCTCCTGACATCAGTGTCTCCAGCTATTGTTGCTCATGTGGAAGTCGGGACAAGTGAACGACACAGCGAGTAAGAACATAATTAGATTGACACTTAAATTACTTAACTCTAATTGAAGCTTCAGTCCAGTGATCAATTCCATTATAATTAGAGTTTGATGGATTTTGAAGGTTGATATTGACACCAGTATTTTAAGTCATTTATCTCAATCTCAACTGGATTTATTTCCATTAAATTTGGCGCAGACGTTCATGGTGCTACGAAGATTAATCTTAATGACTTTGATGATCTCTCTGACTTTTTATCTTGTGCCATCAACAGCACAAAGTTCATGTCATGGGACCTTTTTAAAGAAACTACTGAATTCCCTTCACCATGGTTCAATTCCCACCATGACAAAGGGCACCTGACCAAGACATTTAACCCCCTAATTCCTCGGCGTGCAACCGTTGCCATATATAGCAACTGTATGTCTTTTTGGATCAATACATCAGCTGAATGAGAAATAATTTATTATAAGTTCGCACAACTTCCATTGGGTCTTTATAAAACATATTGCCAAAATGACAACAGAAAGAAAGGTACTTTTACAGTCCTCAAAATATTAGGATGAATCCAGTAAATAGAAGATCAAACACTCTGGAGTAATGAGTTTTACAAACAAAAGGGTTTGATATCAAAATCCTCATTGATACGATTGGGAATCTGTGTATAACCTTCAGTCTATCTCTACTTTGAGGTCAGACATAACATGCCGACATGTTGACATTGTAAATGTGACACTAATATGCGACATGTTCTGGTGCTGACATGCTAGCAAGTATTTAAATTCAAACCTCTGCACATAGTCTTGCTTACTGCTGGTTTGTTGCATATTTACATTTACATGTACATTTATTCATTTAGCTGACGCTTTTATCCAAAGGACCAACAACACGTAACACGTTGGGGGGGAAAACACACACACATAGCCATGCAGGTAATCAATGAAAAACCCCAGAACAGCTACCAAATCAAGAATGAACCTCAGTTAAATTAAACGTTTGCAGGCTAAAATGCTAATCGTCACATCAGCATGTTAACATCTAATCATCTAAGTGAGTATGATGGCCTTGGACGTTGTGTCTCATCTAATCTGCAGGATCAGATGGGTTCCTCGTCCCCTCTGACAGCCGAAATAAATCTTCACTTTCACTTTTGCAAGCTTTTCCCCGTGGGTGTGGTTCAGAGGTTCAGTTTGCAGCGAGACGTGTGACTTCTGCTGCGGCTTGTTTTTGTTGTCGGCGTCTGAGCAGCCAGTTTGTTAGATGTTTTTTAGACGTAATCAGCAGCAAACACACAGCAGTGGACGTTTCCTCAGCTTCCTCCCACTGTGGCGGCGCATCACGGCCACAGAACCAGCTCCGTTGTTGTGGGTAGACACTGCTGTTTGGTGTTTGTGTGTTTGTGTTTGAGTGTAAGTGGTCTGTTGGCAGGTACTATAACCAGCTAAGGCCTAAATAGTGTCCCATGCTGGGAAAATGAGGCTGTCTGCAGCGGCTGCACAGGTTTGTTGTGAGACTAATAAAATGCTGGAGCAAGGCGGACTGAAGCCGAGCTAAAGGACTCAGTGGGGATGTTTTTTCCTTTTCTCCTTTGCTTTCATGAGCTCCCAACCAGGAACAAACTTTGTAGCTGTGGAGCTGCGTGAAAATGGCTAAACATGTCACTTTGGTGCATTTTTAGCCCCAGATAGTTCAAAATTTAATAAGACAACATGAAAGAAATAGTGAAATGTCTAAATGAGCCAGTAAATTCTAAAATAAAATAATTATTTATTGAAAGTGATTGGCTGAAAGCGAGGGAGGTGGTGAAGACACCACTTAGCAGGAAAAGTTAAAGGATAATTTTGGCATTTTTAAACCATATTTTGGTGTTGAAATGACTAGTAGGTACAAAAAGTTTTGGAATCCAGGCAGTAGATGGCTCCCGGTGAAACCCTTTGTTTTCAACTTGCTCTGAAATCTTGTGAGAGGCGAATTTTTGCAGGAAGACGCTGGTTGAAATGAGGGAGCGGAGTTTGTTGTGTACGTTGAGGAGCTGCTTGCAAGACTTTATTTTCCAACACCGCAAACTCCTGTTTCCACTGTCGTCTTCCTGCAACAGTTCGCCTCTCACGAGATTTCAGAGCGAGACTTAAGGAATATGTTGCAGCCCCTGCTGTCGGTTCAGCTGCAGGGGCTTTTGTACCTACGAGTTTTGATTAAGGTTACACAATGTATTGGTTCATTTACAGATTCTATTTATTCCTGATGTCTTATTTATTTAACACTGAACTCTTTCATACAATGACGGGGTCATACAGGTGATGAAACTTCTAATAGGGATAAAGTTCAATGGATAAAAGGAAGTTATAGGCATTGAATATTATATCCATCTCCATTTAAACACATCTTTAATTTGAAAACTGTGTTATTTCTGTAGGACTGTTAATATAGAGTGGTTAATCATTATTCCCTTGGTAAACTGAGATCGCTCTAAGCTTACATCTGATGTGATTGTGTTAACCGCTCACCCCCACCCCCTCCCCGCTTGTGTGTTTCTCCCAGCAGGGCTATGTCCTCGGCAGCCACCACGTCTCCATCTGTGGACAAAGTGGATGGATTTTCACGGAAGTCTGTCAGGAAGGCCAAGCAGAAGCGGTCGCAGAGTTCGTCCCAGTTCCGCTCTCAGGGCAAACCCATAGAGCTCACGCCCTTGCCACTGCTTAAGGGTAAGTGTGTGTGTGCGAGTGTGAATAGTGGGGTTTATGGTGTGATAACGCTGCCAAACACTCGCATTAAATAATTGCTGAAATGAACTTACAGCTATGTTTCTGCTAAAGTAATCAACATCAGTTTATTATGAACAGATCACAGATAAGACGGGGGTTTCACACATTAAGCTAGTCGGTGAAAGTCTTGCTTCATTAGGCGCAACTTACTCTGCTATTGATCAGTTTCAACACAGTTTGAACTTGTGACTTCTCCATTTAGGATTGAAGTCAGTCACTTTCTGCAAAACTAACACATAATAGGTTATTAATTTGAATGCAAGCCTTGTAGCCTCCTCTTAAACTACGTCTTTTACTTCACGGTGCCTCACTTGAGTTAAGAGCTAAAGATACTGTAAAGCACATACATTTTACAAAGTCAGTACACCATTTTTCTCCTTTTGTCTTCATTAAATAGAACAGCAATTGGCCAGTTTACTTATATGGCAACAGGGCATGCAACATATCAGAAAGCATTTCAAATCAAATGTGACAGCCCTGCTGTTAAATGGTTTGTTTGCTCCAGCAAGTTATAGCAAGCTGAGTAAAGAAACTGAAATTATAGATGGCAGAAAGCAAAGCTCAATGACCAGTCACTGTAGTTACACTCGGAAATAGATTTTAGGAGCAGAAATATGTACTTTACTGACTAAAACAGGAGCGTATCTGTTCAGTCGGATGTGTTGAAAAACACAGCTGAAACGCCTGCTGTGTAGACCAGCCTTTACAAAACAGCAACTTTAAGCAGTTAGCTGAGCTGAAATTTATCCCTGAACAACCACATTGAATATGCAGTTCCAAAATCCTAATTATTTAATCATCTGGAACGACAGAAAATGAAATGAATTAACCTCCTTTAAGGACTTGGTGGTGAATGTTTACGGGCGCCCTGGTGGTCTTAGGGGTTTAAGGTGCTGACCATGTGGTTGTGGTGTCCCAGGTTTGAGTGTGACCGCTGACCTTTTTTGTTGCACGTTAAATTTCCTGCGTATTACTGCATTATTTTACACACACTTCCATGAAATTCAGTCATGTTTGTTGTCTTTAAAGGTCAAAGCTTTTTCAAACATTTGTATACATTGACCAATCAGAGGCTTGACGTCTAGATGAGTCAATAAACATCTGTAGGGATGCACCGAATGTTCGGCCACCGAAATTAATCGGCCGAAAATAGCAAAAAATCACTTTCGGTGTTCGACCTAATATGTCAAAAGACCGAATACATTTTACCAAACAATTACATTGACCTGTCAGCAGAGTGGAGGCATTTTAAAGTGTCTGAGAAAGACGCAAATATGGCCGTTTGCAGATGCCGTTCTGCTGAATTGACTCCCAGCACATCCACTCCATCTGTGGCTGACTTCTTAGAAAAGAACCGCTTTGGGTGTTTCTGTCACTCGTCTGTGAGAAGGCGATTAAGCTAGCCACACCTACATTTGGAGTGCACACGTATTCAAGCCTTTATGGTAAATCCAGTGAAGCGGCCCAGAGCGAGCTGACAGGCAGGTTAGAGACTTTATCCTGTCAGTTTGTCTCTTTACAAAGACAAGTGCTGCAGTATGAGAGTCCTGCCTGAAGAGAGGCTGTGAAGTCTTCATGTTACGCCGGACGAGAACCACATACAACATTATTTATCAAACTGGGTCGGACTGGATGAATTTAGCGCGAGGAGGAAACACATGTGTCAACGTCTGGTTTTCAAAATAAGGCGTCTATACAGGATGGAAATAAGATTAATTGGATTATATTCACAGAAAGTATAAAACATATTACATGTGTTCATTAAAAGTAAATGGACTCGTGTAATTTACTTTACCGGACCCTCTGGGGCCTCAGACCCCCCCCACCGTAATCTCTCTCCAAATCCTGTGGGAAACACTGAGGAAAAAGCACATTTTGACTATTTAGTTTATGCCATGGTAAAAAAAAAAAAAAGAAGCAAAATAAATGGATAAAAAATGTCAAAGTACTTCATCGGGTTTCAGTATTCGGCAATTTTTGTCATTATATTTGGTTTCGGGTTCGGCCAAGAATTTTCCTTTCCGTGCATCCCTTAACATTTGTGATGTCAAGATTCTGCAGTGAGTTTTCGACATTAGCTTCACCTTCACCCCAGCTTGTCTTTTAATATTTAAACCACGCTCTGAGCGCCTGTTTGTCTGCTGTCTGCCTCCCGAGCTCTTCTCTGCTCAGAGATGCCTTCATGAAATTCAGAGCCCAGAAATGATTGTGAAACCGGTGCTGCTAAACCTGAGCCAGTTATTTTCCTGCCCAGCTTTTTCCAGAGTCTAGCTCTGTCTGGGTGTTACTGTTGTTGTTTCCATGCTCCTTTGTGTTCCCGTGTTTGTGTGTTAGCTACGTGCCCAGACAGGTAGATCATCAGTGCTGCTGCCTGTCAGTGACGTAGAGAAAGTATGTCTTCGATATCCTGTTAACGTCTGGGGAAGGCTGGTTCATTTCACACACATCATGTTCATATAGAGCCTCTATGATAAGGTACATGTGTGTTTCATGTGAAATAGGTAAAAAAAAAAAAACACAAACCACGCTTGTTTTGTTCTATTCTCTTTTATCTTGTTTATCCTCACATGACCCTTGGATTCATCTTGCAACCCCTTTGGGGGTCCTGACCTCCACGTTGGGAACCACTGATCCAGATGTAGATACAATTAAACAGATTTTTTTTTATCTTAAGATGCATGTTGTGCAGGAACAGGAAGTGGCGGCGGCCAACTGACATGATGCAATATCGTCTCTGACTTGTAAATACACGAGCAACATGTCACATAGCAGGTCAAAGTGAATTTGTTGATGCGTGGTGTGCAGTTGGGCGTAGTACTACACAGTGAAACGCCGCATCACGTTTCTCTTGTGTAAATACAGCGGTGGTGTGTTGTGGTGGTGACGGCAGGAATGCAGCCACACAGAAACCAGACTGAACCGTCACAGTTGGACTGAAAACCACCTGCTGGTTCCTGCTGAGCCTCCGCCCTGCCGCATCACAGAGGGCGGAGCTTACGTTCAGGACAGGAAGGGACCCCTGAGCTCTCGTCACTCATTGACTGCTCACTACTCCCTGTGTAGAGTACTATGTGAGTGAATGAGGAGCTGAACAAGTGCCTACAGAGACTGATTAAAAGCCTCAGGCTAATGTTGCCTACAGGTTTTTACAGTACAGCAGGATCAGCCTACTTACTGCTTTGAAATGTGTTTAATATTTTTTATTTGCGCCCAGTTCGTTTCACACACCCTGACGCAGCCGTTAAAATAAATATGTGAGGCTGAATATTAAGAGAGTTTGGTAGGGATATTGAAATACTAAATTTTAATATGAACGTAGGCTATCTATTTTAGGTTAGTAAAGCTTTCTTAGGCCTACTACAGAGACTGTAGTCATGTTCCTCCCCGCCTTTTGTGATGTGGTCGCAAAAGGCGGGACGGTGAGTTTTCAGTAGCCTAAATGTTGAGATTCAGTCTTTCAGCCCAGCCACTATTTGAGCACATTTTATGGCATGAATGGAGTTTTCGTTTAATTGCTTTATGAAGTTAATTTAGAAAAATGTTTTAAATGAGGGGGAACGACCCGAGACTTGAATGTGGAAACGCCGACACACAGCCGAGCTGAAAGAATAAGGCTGAGGATATTTTCATAGATACAGCTCATAAAAATCAACGTAATATAATAGACTAAGCCTGACTGTGATTTTCTGTCTCCCTGCATGTGTCAGCTGCAGACGTGCTACTGTCGTATTTCTGTAGTGTTACAGTTTAATCCTCGTTCATAAAATATGACTCTCTGCTGACGGTGGACTTGTTCATGTCTGTGATTGGTCATCTGCTGCTAACACCGCCTCTTTTATGTGAACGCGCTCCCGGCTGGATTGGGAAACCCTGGGTTGATTTACCGAGTTGATAAGTAGCTTCGTGGCACCGCTTATCATGATTGTTAGGGTTTGTTAAGCCAGATAACGAAAACATATCCTGGGTATGTTGAACTCGCTTCGTGGTACAGGCCCCTGCTCTGCCTCACTCTGTGCACACACAAATGTTTGATTACTACTTCCTATTTCATAACCATAACCTTTTTAATAACAAAGCATTTCATTTTAAAGTTCAATAAATGCATGATGTTTGCCAAGTTGATTAAAAATTGTGTTAATAATCGTGATTTCAATTATGACAATATAATTGTGATTATGAATTTTGCCATAATCGAGCAGCCCTATGTTAAATAATTTTCTGTACTTATTACAGTATTGTTTGTACAGTAGGTTACAGTGTACTTGTGAACTTGTGTAAAGCAACAGACAGAATTTCCTTTAAGTTTCTTTCATGGTCTCTTTTAGTTTGTCTTTTATGGCTGTTCTGTATTTATCTGCGGCACACGGTCGGTCTTTCTCAGTACCCCCTTGCTTCAGTTTCACACGTTCACTTCACATTCACACAGCTCCACACATTTCTCACCTCCCCAGCACAGTCGCAATGTGCTGCTCCCGACGGCCGAGCCGCTCCACAGGAGCTCTGCTTTTACACGGCACAGTCGCTTCAGGAGGCGCTTTGCTTACAACAGAGTCTGGCTGTCCTGAATTAGAAACGCAGTCGGACACGTCACCGATAACAGATTTCATTGCTAGGTGATATCCCCTTTCTGCTGCTTCTGTACTGTATTTTGTTCCTGCAGGGACACATACTGTACATTACAGAAGCAAAACACAGTGCTGATAATCATGTTTTTAAATCGTGGCTTCAGTGATGTGTAGCTCTGTTTGAGAGCGCCGCCAAGCCTCCGTGTGGACAGGCAGCGTGGCTGTTGGTGGAGGGTCTGTGCAGAAAAGATAGGAACTGTGCTTCCCCTAGATTCATATGAGTGCACTACTAAAATTCACACAATCATTACTATCAATGGGCTACTAATGATTTTCACTTGCACAGTAACACGTTTGGCTAACTCCCTCTGCTCA